TGACCACTGGGCGCAATGGTTCGAGGGGGAACGTGCAGCTGGTTTCCTTCCGGAGTACGACTGGACGCCGCAGGGTACTCCACTGGGGACCCCGCGACAACGATCTACCCGAGGGAGATCGAGATCCATGTCCAGCGGCCGAGGCTACATACCTCGAAGCTCAACGCCGCAACGCTCGAGATCTGGCTTCCGTCATCACGGCGGCAAGATGGGCGCGCGATCGGTCACCCCGGCGGGCGGCAGCGGTGACCCGCCTCCTGCCGCTGCCCCGGAGGATCATCGCACAGCCTTTGGCGATGGCATGGACGCAATGGAAGCAATCTCAGATCGAGGAGATGCTTAACCCTGTCCCAGGAATCGACGACGATCCTGATGATGAAGTGCCGTGGGCGGCCAACCTGGCTTTCCCCGACCTGATGGATCTCGCGCGGACCATCAGAAGGAAGGGAGCTCGTAGACTCCGGTCACGAGGACCTCAAGACGACTGGCTGGCGAGGACCGATCGGACTTGGTGCTGGGAATGAGCGAACCCTTCTACACAATGTGAGATTCTGGTGGTGGCCCATGAGCCCGGCGCCTACGCAGCAGTACGACAGGAGCTTGGCGAGATGGAAGAAGACTGTGCTTCTCTTCCACGCCGGTGAGATGCGCGTACTCCTCCGAGATGCGCCGATGAGTGCCGAGGTGCCTACCCTAAGGGAGACACAAGGCGCCGATGCAAGTAGAACTTTAGTCATTTGCAGGCCGTCGGTAGATGCAGCTGGCGTCATCGACGGGGCTTCTACGTACAAGGGAAGCCGAAAGCCCGAGGGGCAGGGCAAAAGGGCCCTAGCCCGTGAGGAGGCGCGAGCACGTGGGCGATACACAGGGGGTGACGCTTTTGTTGGGGTTAAGGTTCCTAGCGCTAAGGAAGAGTCTGGAGTCCCGAAGCAAGGCCCCCTAGTAGCCGTGAAAAGCAGGCTTCAACCGAAACCTCCTCAAGCCGAAGCTGTAGAACCTGTGCCTCCCAAGGACAGGGTCCCTAAGCTCGAACTGACCCAAGTCTCCAAGGCTGAGGAAAAGGAGGAAGGATGGACACAGGTAGGTTCTAGTTTTCCCAGGAAACCGAGGTCCCTGAAGGACATCCCAAAGCCACCCTCGCCGCCCAGAAGGAACCGAAAGCCTGAACCCAATCGTAGGAAACGATGGGC